TGTGACTCTATCTTTACCAACCGCTATATGACAATATGAAAGAAGGCAAACAAGAAATGATAAATAAAAATGAAAAAAGATATATTTGTTCTACTAACATCTTTTAGCAACTAATTTTGAAAATAATTTATTCATGAGTTTCGTGGGAAAGATGAATATAATTTAACATTTAACATTATTAGTTTTCGTTTAAATTAATATGTTAACTTATTTTAAATGTATTATTATAATGTTGATAGGTAAACCGCGGATTAAAACCGAATCAACTCGCAAATTATGGTTTGGTTGGAAAAATAAAATGGTTTGGTTTGGTTTGAAAAAATTTCAAACTGCATGAAATAGTTTGAGTTGAAAATTTGGCACAAACCGCCCAAACCGAACCGCGTTCACTCCTAAAGTCTACTTAAACTTCTATTAATAAGTAGCCAGGGTTAAAAAAAATCATAACACACGTCTCACAATATTATAATATTGCTAGCACAAGAAAGAGAAACTCTAATCTCTCATTCTTGTTTTCGTCTGGATAATTGGACAGTTGTGATTTGAAAAGATCGTGATTTATGAAGGCTTACAAAGATCGTAATTTTTTGTGATCAAGATTCGCCAAAAAGTTTTTCAGAATTTGTTAAAAGTTCAATTCTAATCATAGTTTTTATCTACACACAAAGGCTATCCTTGAAGAGAATTGAAATTATTTTTAAATTTCTTTGTGTACGTATAAGTAAATTTCCAACACCTATATGTTCACACGCGGCCTCAAGGCCTAAAAACTAACCAGGACTGGCATAGAATGGCGACTAGAACAGTGCACTCGTTATTTCAATTTACTGTTTTTAGTAGACTTTAGTTTTCTAATCATGCAATAACATAAGAAAAAAATGCTATCTACAGAGTGTTTTACGATAGGTTAAACTTTTAGTGATTTCTATAAATTTAATAAATCAAGGCATGCAATCTTAATAGGAGATCTCCTAATGGGGTCACTTCTATGAGAATATTTTAAAACTTAAATTTTCTAAAAAACATATGAAACTCAAGATTTATTCGTAACCGAAATAAAAACAATCGTGAGAACCCAAAAGTGTTGAGAAAGTTATTGTATGTGTAGTATTGTCTTGGTTTACACCAATGAATGAACAATTCAAGACGTTCACTAATTAGCTAAGTAAATCGATAGTATTCGACTAAGAAAGGTTCAAATCAATATATACCTATCCAGTTGCAATAGCTTTTTGCTTGAGCTTTCTTTAGTGTCTGCATACTATTTTGTACTAATTTTTATTCACGTGGGAGATTGTTGAAAGTTGATTCAAAATTGTTTGTTTTTGACCTGCCATTCGAATTGGATAAGCGAGACCTATTAATCGATTATGGGAGTTTGAAGGTCGAAAGCATTCTACTTGGAAGCATCTGCTTGGAGATTAGGTTATTGTATATTTACTTTCTCGAACAAATTTTGTGTGAATGAGAAATAAGGCAGAAGGTGATAACTTAACACGTAGAAATTGTTAGATTTCTTAGAATGGTGAGAAAAAATTTGCCTTTAGAGAATTAGGCTCAAACAGGGGCTATATACAAGCTCTACTAGCAATATAATAACAACCAGCTCCAGATTTTATTTTATTTTATTATTATTATTATTTTTTTTTTTTTGCTGTAAATGGTTATAGTCTTGCGCAATTGTGACCTTTTCACGAAAAAGAGGGGTAATACAAATATGAAGTATTCGTTTTGAAAAGTTAAAAACATTAAACTGAGAAGTGATCAAAGAGGGTTAATTCGAGGAAATTGGCCTACCAAGTTAAAATACAACCAAAGTTGCAAATAATTTCATTCTTCCTCTTCTTTATTGATATGACACTCTTTAAATTAGAAGCACAAATTACATGATTCACTAATCCTAAAAATTTGAGGCACCAACCCACTCACTAACTCCCACTATGTAAAACAATTAGCACAAAATGTGGATAAACATCTAATTACTCTATACTTATTAATTACATTTGACTCTTTCAATTCAAAAATAAACAAAACACTAAGAACATTTTCAAAAGACTCTCTATTTTTAATGAGCGTATTTTGAAAGTTAGAGAGCATCTATAAATTTAGAGAGTAAAATTTTTTAAGTACTCAAACATGCTCTTTATTTTTAATAATAAATTTTATTACTCTTAAAACATATTTATTATTTTTTCATATCTTTAATTTTCGTAACCTCCTTCCAAATTATTATATTATTTTTCTCAATTAAAAATTGAAATACTTTGAATATATTTAGATCAAGTGCTGAAGTTGAGTATATAGCAATAATCTTGTTGTCTAGAGGAGTAAAAAGAAAAAGGTTGTATCTAGATCAAGTGCTGAAGTTGAGTATATAGCAATGCCTCAAGGTATATGTGAGTTACTTCAGGTGAAAACTGTAATGAGAGACTTAGGTTTTATACCTTCATGTGCTATGCCATTATACTGTGACAATAAAGCTGCAATTTCAATACCTCATAACCCTATATAGCATGATCGCAGCAAGCATGTAAAAATAGACAAGCACTTCATTAAAAAAAAAGTTGGAAGCTCAGATTATTGAAGTTCCATTTGTAAAATCTAAAGATTAGTTAGCTGATATCCTGACCAAGGTAGTTTCAAGGGGTGTGTTATCCAACTCGCTTGACAAGTTGGCATGCAAGATATCTTTACACTAACTTGAGTAAGAGTGTTGGCGTGATGTGTGCTTAATCATAGGAGATTTAGTGAATTATCACTACAACAAAAAATCATACGGAAACGTTCAAAAAACGTTGCCGTAGGCCTACGATAACGTTTGGACGTGTGTTGCAAATCAAAGTGTTGTCGTAGAGTAGAGAGATACGACAACGTTTTTTGAACGTTGCCAAAAATTCGGCAACGTTTAAAAAACGCTGCCGTAGAGATACGGCAACGTTTGCCAAACGTTGCGAAAGACTCTACGACAACATTTCACAAACGTTGCCGTAAAGTCTTTCGCAACGTTTGGCAAACGTTGCCGTATCTCTCTACGGCAACGCTTGTCAAATGTTGCCGTAGGGTAGTGGTTTTTTT